GCGGAGTAGCCCCATGTATCTTGTTACCCGTAGGGCATATCCACAGAGACAGGTTGAACTACACATCGCCTCTGCGCACTTTGGTTGAGTTCCCGGCCCACTCAACTGAGGACAAAATACACGCACGTGGGATGGATGAAACCCTGTACTGGTTGAGAAACCACCTATCAACTAGATTCTGTCCACTCATAATATTATGGAGTTATTAATCCTGGGTCAAGATTAGGTCATAACCATGCGGCAACTGGGGTTAGTTCTCTTACCAACACCTACTTAATTACAAGTGGATAGGCCCTACTGTGATGGACAAATTCCTGTTTATAGGGTTTCATCCATCCCGAGCGGTGCCGGGCACGGATTTCGTCCATCCACAGTATCTGGGCTGTCCAAACTGACCCCCTTCTACAAGTGACTGACTTGTGGTTTAAATGGAAACACACGCAAACCAGCTAAAAACCTAAAAACCTAGAAAACTAAAAACCTTGAACACATTTTAACAACCACCAAACAAAAACTAAGGAACAGGGTGGCTGCGCACCATCCACCATACGTCCCCAAACCCGGTCGATGTCTGCGTCGTTCCGAGAGGCGCAGGACCGTCTCCTTTCGCAGCAGGTTCGCCGGCTGGAGCAGCCTATACGCGCGAGATGATCCCAAGAAAACTCTGGGGATTCAGCTGCCGCCACTAAAACAAGGGGGGCTCGTATAACCGTTCTATACCTCACTGGCTGAGTGGGTTGGCCAAGAAAAGTTCGAACTTTTATTTACCACTAAAATGGTCTTCCAAAAAAGTTTAAAGTTCATGAACTCAGGAAGTGAGTGTATACCTAAGGATTGTCATCATCTAAATTGGGAGAACCTTTCTTTTAATGGGGGTTGAATTGCCCCCCTAGGGGCGCAGAAATCAAATGACCATTTCGACAACCACAGGGATACAAATCTCAGCCCCAAGGACCCAGAAAAAGGTCAAACCGGTCGATTCGCTTTGGACACGGCGTCAAATGCATTGAGGGCCTTCAAGCCATTGATTCGGAACTTCTCTGGGAGAATCCTGAACGCCCAGGAATGCTGGGAACTTCCCCTTGCAAAAACCAACTTGAACGGAACGCAAATAAAGTTTTGAAGGACTGTATCTAATGGGACAGCCAACCCTGGGAAAACTACTAGAATAATTCGCCCACCCCTGGCTGCCGAGTGGCAACTAGACCAGACTTTGTTTGGTGTGACCATGTTGGGTGGGAAACCCACCAAGGAGAGGGAACCAGGGGCCCCGGGGAAACCCGAAAACAGCCACCCTTTGCTGAAGTCCTGTGGAACAACATAAGTCACCCCCGACCGTGATAAATAAACAATACTATTCAGCAAATGGAATTCGAATGAACCCCACCATTGCTGGAATTGCAAGGGAGGGGGGGTAGGTACAAGGAGTGTTGGGTTGAGAGTTCTAGAGTTTCTAGGATCCCTCAGGCTTCTGTAGAGGGGTGTGCAGTTGAAAGCCCCAGGGTTCGGGAGCCGCCGCTCCTGGGCGCGCCCGGAAGCTCGATGGTGAGCCAGCCGATGAGGCCCCGGTCTGTGCGGACCTGGCACTTTTGAAAAACCCCCCCGCCCCTCCCCCCCAATAAGAAACAAGAAGAAAAACGGACAGGTACCCCCCTGAAAAATCCTGGAAAGAAGGCTTCGTGCAGGGAGCTGAATTCTTTAAGGCTTCTCTATCCCAGTGGTTGCAGGCACTATGGCATGACCAAGGGAGCAAAGGAACATGGATCGAAGGGCTCCCTATAGCGTGCCACGCCTGGGATCTGGGTTTGACTTCCCGTGACCTCACAGAAAGACACAGCCACTGTGCGTCCAAGCCACTTCACTCAAATAAGTGTTGGCACTCGTTTTCCTGGTAACTGTTTTCTTGTCTTTAGTTTGTGCTATTAGCTGTTGTTTTCGCTTTTCGGTGACCTACTCAGTTGTTTCATCGGGAACCCCCTCCCAAAGCAAGTTGCAGAAAGGGCACACTGGAGGTCTGGACTGCCCTGTAAGGTGGATTTGACCGCTGAAACCATCACTTTATGCAACCACCTCTTACATTTTGGAGCCCCTCCGCTTTTCAACAAACGCAAGGTGACCCAACGTGTCTGAGCCCATGGTATTGTCTCAATCAACACGTACAAGCCGCAAGTTGCATTCGGAGAGGTGAGCAATACCCCTTTCTTTGGCGGGAGGGGATGAAGGCAGCGGGAAGACGGTTCCGGTGCGCCGCGCAGGTGTGCCCCCAGAAGTGTTTATCGGGGTACATACTGCCCCCAAATATGTTTTGCTTGTGGGGGATGCATCGCATCTTCTCACAACCCGGCGCAAAACGCTGTGCTCCCCATCGTCTTACAAGGCTTGTAAACCTTGTAATTTGAAACTCCAAACAAATGGGAGAAATTCTCCATAGGGGACATATTGGGGCATGAGCTCTAACACGAACTTTACATGTTGAGATTCTGGCCACGTGCCCAAGAACGACAATGCCAAACAACTCCTGCAATGGATTTTTTGCGCCAACGACGAAGCAAGCAGATTCGTCAACCTGGCGGACTGTCCGGGGGGTTAGATCCGATCCACAAGAGATCCGGTAGAAATAAGCCGCGCTCCGGATCAAGGACTGGCGCTTCAGAAACTGGGTCTCCCAAAGCTGAAGGTATGAAAAAGCAGGGACCTTTCCGCACTTCCTGAGTGGATGGGCCAAAAAAGTCCAAGCTTCTTACTTAGCACTGCAATGGTCTTCCCGAAAAGTGACTAATTGAAGTCCAGGAACTCAGGAAGTAAGATACCACAAAAGGTTGCGCCATAGTTCCGCGACTGCTAAATCAAGTCAGAAGAATGAAAGCAGCATCTCGAAAATTCATGCAACACAATGCCCTACGCGTCAGGATCCGAAGCCCATCTTGGCTGACATCGTACCCAGAAAATTGTATCTTCAGAATCTGCTTCATGTTTAGTCTACGCCAATGTTGACATTTGCAGTCCCCAGAAGCCGCTTCATCTGAGGTTTGACCGGGGGAGTTTATAATCCGACGTTCACAAAAAAGAAGGAAGACTCCAAAGGCACGGGCGCTTCGCTTTTTTTCGTGGCTCTCCAAAAAGTGTTGTTTTTGTTCTGCCTTTCCACAGCAATTTGTTTCCCGCGCTGAGCTGCAGCTTTCCAAGGGAACATTTCGGTGGGTCGCTTTAGGCCCTTCTGTTTGCTTTCCTTTTGGTTTCCCAAGCCCGAAAAGCTTCCCAACACTTGGGTCTGGTATGAATCTCACTTCCTGAGTGGATTGGCCAGAAAGTCTGACCTGTTCAACCACTAAAGTGGTCCAAACCCAAAGAGTGCCTAAGAAAAAGTCTGACCTGTTCAACCACCAAAATGGTTCAACCCCAAAAAGTGCCTAAGACAAAATCAGACGTGTTCAAGCACTAAAATGGTCCAACCCCAAAAAGTGCCTAAGAAAAAGTCTGACCTGTTCAACCACTAAAATGGTTCAAACCCAAAGAGTGCCTAAGAAAAAGTCTGACCTGTTCAAGCACTAAAATGGTCCAACCCCAAAAAGTGCCTAAGAAAAAGTCTGACCTGTTCAACCACTAAAATGGTTCAAACCCAAAGAGTGCCTAAGGAAAAGTCTGACCTGTTCAACCACTAAAATGGTTCAAACCCAAAAAGTGCCTAAGAAAAAGTCTGACCTGTTCAACCACTAAAATGGGTCAAACCCAAAAAGTGCCTAAGAAAGAGTCTGACCTGTTCAACCACTAAACTGGTTCAAACCCAAAAAGTGCCTAAGAAAAAGTCTGACCTGTTCAACCATTAAAATAGTCCAAACCCACCCAAAGTCCGTAAACCCAGGAAATTTGAGTCCCACCTGCACTCCCCGCCCCAGCCAGCCAGCCCGCGCCTTGCCCCTGAGCCTGGGCTCCTCTGAGACCACCAGGCACAGCTCCAGCAGCAAAACCTGGAGCCAAACGCCCATCGCGTCGCGCGATTCAACCGATGGAAGGAGCCACCGTCGTGAGTTCGGTCTGGGGAAACCCTGGGAAGGAGTTGATTTTTCTGGGAAAAAATAACAAAACAACAAATAAGCAATGTGTTGTTTTACCCCGGTTGCGGAATTGATTTCCCTGAAAAACAAAAAACAAAAACAACACAAAAACGCGGTGTGACATGGATTTCGTCCATCCACAGTAGGCAACCAAGGGAACTCCACCGTTTAAAAACCGAAAAGGGCATGGCGAAGGGTTAGCAATGATGGTTTTAACTGGGATCCACTGGGTGTCACAGGGTTCCGCAGATGTCAATCTGTTGAGGGTACCATTTCTGTTTGGGTCGGATTGAAGTTTTGGGGTTCAAACTATGCGACATCTGCAAAAACAACACAAAAGGAACTACTCCCCATTGTAGTAGGGAACCCTTCACATTCGTTTACCTCTAGGTGTTGTATCTTTTTCCATGGTTGTGGTGAGTAAGTGGAAGGACTGGCATTGTTCGGGGGAAACCCTGACAGGCATGATGTTGACGCACTCGCTGAATCCCAATGAGCCCATTCGGTAGAATACATCGCCCCCTTGTAGGCTGGTTGACGGTTTGTAAAAGGGAGCCTCAACACTGGTTTGATGTAGTTTGATGTAGGGGATATGGAGGAATGGCAGAAACGACTATAAGACCCAGGCTGAGCTACCAGCACAGCTCCAATCCGCCGACCTTTGATTGCCTGGACTGAATGAAAGGCCTTGATGGGCGCCGGAGGCCTCGCCGGGGTTGGACTCGGAAAGCCGGATAGCTGAGGAACAAATCGGTGCCTGTGAAGACTCTGCCATACCCCAAGCCGTTGGAAAGGAACACGAATCCGCAACCAGGCGATCGGGAAATATCGGGAATCTACACCTCAAGGGTTTAGGGTCCTGGAGAAACGGACCATCTACTTCTCTCCAATTGCCCAAATAAAACTGACCCCAAGCCCTGGCACCTGCATTCAGGCGCACCTGAGCCCGAAAATGGATGTTTCAACCGGTGTGAAGCACTTGGCCCACGTGAAAGAACAACTCGTTGAAGTTTAGACCACGGAGGTGGGGTTCTGGATGGATTAGGGCAGACTCTTGGTGAAAGGAACCAAAGGACAGCGTCCAATGTTGTACCAAGTGTTCGTCTTGTGGCTAACAAAGCTGGCTTGTGCAGCTGGCAACCCCTTTCAAATCCCACGGCCCTTTCGCGGGGATTTCATCGCCCAAAGATGCCCGCAAGAAGCCAGTATCGACATGGCCATTCATAGCCTATGCATTTCTCCCATTTCGTGGCGGATGAACACCCATGTACCACCTATTTTGATGTTCACCAGGGTACAGGCTTGATACGGGACGATGGGCCGGGGTTCGCCAAATCCCGTCGCATTGCCCGCGCCCTTCGCTCCAATTCGCCGCCTCTTCCCGAGGCCCGTCCAGCTCGCACAGAGGCTCGGCCTCCAGATCCTGACGGGACATGGCGTTCAACGAATCTCCGCTCATGACTTCCATTTGGCTAAGGCCCCTGGAAAAATTAAAACACAAATATGTCCATTTCCTGCAGTGATACATTCCGTTTGACACCAACAAGGGAAAATGAAAACATATTCTTAAGCAAATGGAAGATGAAGCGCCAAATCTGGCCCCCGGTGTTGTGTAAAACCGATCTCCACTTGAATCAACGTGGGGGTACGCGACAGAATGACGAGAACTGCCAAAAACAGATACGGGCCCACCATACACCGATACGCAATCTGCAATAAAAGCAACAGGGGACCACCCAAAACCGATAGCCTGGCAATATTGTTTGTCTGTGCTTCACATGTCATACATAAATATATATATATATATATATCTATATACATATCCAGCCATGTTGCAAAGTCTTCCCGTATTCTAACTCGTAGCCATTCAGATTTGCAAACTGGGTGTGCTTCCAAGACACTCCAACTTGATTCGCTTAACATCAACTGGTATGCTTCAGTGGTTCCAGGCAAGCCAATCTAGCAGGTTACAAAGGGGTTTGGGAACCACCCGGAGAAAAAAACAAAAAACTGGAGCACCCCGAAGGTTTCAGTGGATGCCATGGAACCCAAGGGTTGGTCACCCGAGTGTCTTTCCTCGTAAAGTCACGTCAAAGGAAGAACATCCAACCAGCCTTTGACAAACCGCAAGACATGACCCCCAGTTCAAATGCAAATCCGAATCCGGACCTGAGCTCGTCCCTGTTTGAGGCAAACCTGAAGGAAACCAACCATGATGTCGGAACCAGTTTGAGCTTTTTGGGCATGGACTTCGTCAAAAAAAAGGACATCACCCAATAAGAAGCAGGAAGCCACCTCAACAACTAAGACAAAAGACCCGATTGTAGCGCACCCCGTAGAAACTCCGGTCCATTTGCTGACCAGGAGTCTACATCTGTGCGCAGGACAGGCTGTCCGTTGACACGGTAGCCTCAGATCGCAAGGCGTCGGCTGTCAAACTCTGGCGAAAAACACGCGAACATCACACCTTCTCTTGCTTTGCCTTGCACTTTCTCAGAAGATGGAAGCTCCCAGACGGCCGCTGCAAATGGAACCAAGTCTTTTAAAAGGGGTCCTGGGAGCGTCCATGGAATCGCCTGGAGCAGGGTAGAAACCCAGCGAGAATGAAGCAAGAGCCAAGGGAGTCGCCAAAAGGCAGCGACGGTAGGGCGCCTTAGGAGAGGCGTTGCCTCTTAGAGGTTTAGCGGCAAAACCTTCTCTGCGAAGCAGTTGGAAATGCCTCTACAAAAGTCAAAACTGCTTCCCAGTGCGTTTTGAGAAGGCTATGCAAAATCCTCTGAGCGGCAAAAGGAAGCTTCTGCGAAGGGGGCACCAGTGCGCCGACTCCATTGGTTTTACCCTGAATCGATTTTCCTGGCTGTGGGCAATTTGTAGTGTCAACATGGCATTCGTCAGCACATGGCATGCGACGAAGTGCAAAATCAACATACCAGACCCTGGAGGGGTTTTGGGGGACATAATCCTTCTGAGCTACAAATATCTTGTGGTGAGCTTTCCCTTTGTTCCTGCGGGGCGCAAGGGAAAAGAAAAAACACGGATGGCCCCTGATGGCCCCATCCTATCGCTGGAACAGTGGCGAGGAAAGTGACCCCTGAGCATGACCAAAACACAATCCCGCTTAGCTTGGTCCAAGCCCAAAGGCAAGGATCCATTTGGGGGCAGCAAACCTCCAGGCAAAACATGTCGTAGTTTTCTTCGCAACGCCCTACATGAGAAAATTAATGGAACCCCAACAGCTCTGCTGTCATCACTATAGGCATTCACAAAAGCAAAAGTGAAGAACCGTTTGCGTATCTTGTCGGATTGCCATAAATAAACATGGGCAAGAGCAATAAGGTGAAACGGTTGGCTGATCCTTTTCGCTTGCCATGACTTTCTCACTTTCTGAGTGGATTGGTAAAGCAAAGTCCGAACTTTTTGTACCACAGTCCAAACCCAAAAAATGACTAAAGTCCAGCCCCTTGCGCTTTATTGGTTTTGGGAATCCTTTAAGGATCAAATGGGAACCCGGGCTTCGAAAACCAATCCAGTCTTTTTTTGACCGAGGGAAAATCACAACTTTCAAGGAGGTCGTATTGGGCAAAGCAAAGAATACCCCTCAGCTCAACCGGTTTCTCCTTTCGGGTTGCCAGGACTAAACATGGGCATGACAAGCCTAACGTCAAGCGGTCTTTCGGTGCCGGGGCTACACATGGGTCCTCGCCCAAGGACATGCTTTTTACTTATCCTGCAACGTCCTCGCCAATTTGTTGGCGGCGTGACACGTAAAGCAACACACTGCAAGGCACTGCCCTGGTGCACCATGCCGGCGAGGCCGGACCCTTCGTCCGAAGCCAAGAATGCGGACAAGCATCCAGACCCCCGGTGGATTTCGACCGAACAAAGAGGATCCACACGCTTGTCTAGGTCCTTCAGTAGAGAGGTTCGAACAAGGGTACCCTTTTTTTTCTGTAGTCTACTTTAGTAGTGGAACCCTCCCCCAAAAAATGGTAAAAGGGTACTACTGGGGGACCTAGTTGTATTGGTAATTGATTCTAAAGGGAAACCCTCAAAACCAAGTTGGAACAAGGTTTGCCTGGAGGTCTGTGGCCACAACTTCCGCCTTGCACCCGTATCAACCCCAGCATGGCTCTTTGACGCCGTTGGCGCCTGGCGATGCATTGCCGACTGAAAGTGAAACTGGTGTGCCAACCACCATGGCTCCAGCCGGACTTGGAGCGCTTGGCGGACTTGTTGTGAGTTGCTGCAGGTATTGATACTTGCCTCGGTCTTTCTTTCAAAAGAAACCTAGAGGATCCTTTTTTGGATCTCCCCAAACGGATGGAACGGGGCCCCCAAAGATGCCCAAAGCGAGATTGCTCTACAAGTGATGGATTGTTGGATTCCATCTCAATCAGGGAAGCAACAAGTACAAGGTAGGGGGTAAAACTGAAGAGCAGGGTGATGTTAGTGGTGTAATAATTCTCATGTGTGTTCAATCGCATTATGCATGTTCCACCGTGAACTCAGCTTCCCTCTAATGGGTGCTTTGAATTGGTGGCTTGGAGTTGGGCCCATTTACCCTGTCAACGAACAGTTGGTTCAACTCCCCAAGCTCCAAACCGCCAATTCAATCCACAAATTTGGGGTACGCTGATACCTGAAGGCCCAGCGACGCAGCCCAGTGAAGACGCCAAGGAAGGCGAAGCCGACCAAAATCAGGTTCAGCAGCCGGACGTACTTCAGGGTGTGGGCGATCTCGTGCCAGTCGTCAGAGTCCTCAGACCAAGCCATGACCTGCCACATCACTTCCAGCAGAACGTTCAAGGCCGCATCTCCCATGAAGGCGATCAGCAAGGGATAGTCCAAACATTTTGGATTGCTCAGAGTGCACTCCCCCAGCGGACACGGATGTGGTACATCCGGCATGTCGTTTGGGCAGCAGCAGGGGGTCCAGCAACGGGAGGCCAGCATTAGGATCAGTGTCACGAAAGCGCCCAAACTGATCAGCTCCAAAAAAGCCTCCCCGTTGACGTCCGCCAGGAGCAAACACACTGCGATCAAGGTCCCAAATCCGTAAATGGCACAAGCAGCGATATACCAGATCTGCATTGCAGGGCTGGACCCGATATTGTTGCAGCAGTTCCCTTCGCACATCGTGGAATCAAAGGCGCTTCTTTGCCTTCTTTGCCTTTGGCAATGGCAAATGCGTTAACTCGATGCTGGACGTATGGAGCCAAAACAAGAAGCTCTTCGGCTGCCTTGCGACCAAACTGCCTGGACACTTAAAGCAGTGTTGGCTCGCCATGACTAAGAAATGTCTGGGGTTGCGCTTGTGTGTCCAGGATTAAACATGGGCCAACAAAAAACAGTCACAACTGCTGGTAGCTGTTGTCAAGGAAATTACTATTATTTGTTTCAAGGAAATCACCATTTGGGTCTGTCGTGTTGTTGGGGGTCTCTTTTGGCGTTGGATTTAAAGGGCACATAAGGACACCGCCATTTGTGGGGGGTCCCCAAAACATGAGACCTACCCATTTGGAGGCAATATCTCATTTGGAAAGGGTCCATTGGATGGCCTTTTGGTCGTGCCCGAAAGGACGTGGGCACTGGAGGTTTTAGTGACTTAGACTTGCCCTGGCTATGAGTTCACTCAAGATTAGTTGTTAGCACTGCTCGGACCGCAGTGAAAAACCGACCAAAGCCGGCCGCGGCTGCACTGCGCCAGACGAAAGGGGTCTGGGACGTTGCGGGTCCGGGCAAACCAGGAATTGGCGGTATCTAACTACATATATATATATAATATGATTGATATGCAAATGTATGTGCGTATATAAATATATGTAATATAATATATACATATATATACATATATATATATACTCGGTTGCTTTCTGCTCCGCTGCTAAAAGTTTAAATTCTAGTGGTTTAATGGAAAACCCATTCGCTGACAAGAAGTTAAAGTCCTAACAGCCAAGCAAAAAAGATATGTGTGGAAATATATCTATATATATGATACGCATATGTATGTGCGTATATATAAAAAGTATAATATATATCTATATACATTTATATATATATACTCGGTTGCTTTCTGCTCCCCGGCTAAAGTTTAACTTTGAGTGGTTTAACGGAAAGCCCATTCGTTGACAAGAAGTTAAAGTCCTAACAGCCAAGCAAAATGCACCAAAGTATATGTGTAAAAGTATATATATATAAATGATATGCATATGTATGTGCGTATATATGTAATATCCATATACACACATATATATATATATACTCGGTTGCTTTCTGCTCCGCTGCTAAAGTTTAACTTTTAGTGGTTCAATGGAAAACCCATTCGCTGACCACAAGTTAAAGTCCTAACAGCCAAGCAAAATGCACCAACGTATATGTGTGTAAAAATAAATACATATATATCTATATATGATATGCATATGTATGTGCGTATATATATAATACACATATATACACACGTATATATATATATACTCGGTTGCTTTCTGCTCCCCTGCTAAAAGTTTAAATTTTAGTGGTTCAATGGAAAACCCATTCGCTGACAAGAAGTTAAAGTCCTAACAGCCAAGCAAAATGCATCAAAGTGTATATGTGTAAACATACATATATATATATATATGTATATCTCACATGCATATGTATGTGCGTATGTATATAAAATAATATATATAAATATACATATATATATATATACTCGGTTGCTTTCTGCTCCCCTGCTAAAAGTTTATTTGTTGTGGTTTAATGGAAAACCCATTCGTTGACAAGAAGTTAAAGTCCTAACAGCCAAGCAAAATGCACCAAAGTTTTTTTTGTGTAAACAAATATATATATATATATAAATATATCATATGCATATGTATGTCCGTATGTAAAATAATATATATATATAAATATGTATACATATATATATATATATTTATACTCGGTTGCTTTCTGCTCCCCTGCTAAAGTTTAATTTTTCGTGGTTTAATGGAAAACCCATTCGTTGACAAGAAGTCAAAGTCCTAACAGCCAAGCAAAATGCACCAAAGTATTTATGTGTAAACATATATATATATATATCATATGCATATGTATGTCCGTACGTATAATAATATACATATATATATCTGTATATACATATACATATATATTTATACTCGGTTGCTTTCTGCTCCCCTGCTTGAAGTTTAATTTTTCGTGGTTTAATGGAAAACCCATTCGTTGGCAACAAGTCAAAGTCCTAACAGCCAAGCAAAATGCACCAAAGTATTTATGTGTAAACATATATATATATATCATATGCATATGTATGTCCGTATGTATGATAATATATATGTATATACATATATATATATATATTTATACTCGGTTGCTTTCTGCTCCCCTGCTAAAGTTCAATTTTTCGTGGTTTAATGGAAAACCCATTCGTTGACAAGAAGTCAAAGTCCTAACAGCCAAGCAAATTGCACCAACGTATTTATGTGTAAACATATATTTATATATATCATATGCATATGTGTGTCCGTATGTATAATAATATATATATATGTATATACATATACATATATATTTATACTCTGTTGCTTTCTGCTCCCCTGCTAAAGTTTAATTTTTCGTGGTTTAATGGAAAACCCATTCGTTGACAAGAAGTCAAAGTCCTAACAGCCAAGCAAAATGCACCAAAGTATTTATGTGTAAACATATATACATATATCATATGCACATGTATGTCCGTATGTATAATAATATATATATATGTATACATATATATATATATTTATACTCGGTTGCTTTCTGCTCCCCTGCTAAAGTTTAATTTTTCGTGGTTTAATGGAAAACCCATTCGTTGACAAGAAGTCAAAGTCCTAACAGCCAAGCAAAATGCAAAGTATTTATGTGTAAACATACATATATATATATATATATATCATATGCATGTATATACATATATATATATATTTATACTCGGTTGCTTTGTGCTCCCCTGCTAAAGTTTAATTTTTCGTGGTTTAATGGAAAACCAATTCGTTGACAAGAAGTCAAAGTCCTAACAGCCAAGCACAATGCACCAAAGTATTTATGTGTAAACATATATATATATCATATGCACATGTATGTCCGTATGTATAATAATATATATATATGTATACATATATATATATATATTTATACTCGGTTGCTTTCTGCTCCCCTGCTAAAGTTTAATTTTTCGTGGTTTAATGGAAAACCCATTTGTTGACAAGAAGTCAAAGTCCTAACAGCCAAGCAAAATGCACCAAAGTATTTATGTGTAAACATATATATATATCATATGCATATGTATGTCCGTATGTACAATAATCTATATATGTATATACATATACATATATATTTATACTCGGTTGCTTTCTGCTCCCCTGCTAAAGTTTAATTTTTCGTGGTTTAATGGAAAACCCATTCGTTGACAAGAAGTCAAAGTCCAAACAGCCAAGCAAAATGCAAAGTATTTATGTGTAAACATATATATATATCATATGCATATGTATGTCCGTATAATAATATATATGTAAATACATATATATATATATATATTTATACTCGGTTGCTTTCTGCTCCCCTGCTAAAGTTTAATTTTTCGTGGTTTAATGGAAAACCCATTCGTTGACAAGAAGTCAAAGTCCTAACAGCCAAGCAAAATGCACCAAAGTATTTATGTGTAAACATATATATATATATATATATATCATATGCATATGTATGTCCGTATGTACAATAATCTATATATGTATATACATATACATATATATTTATACTCGGTTGCTTTCTGCTCCCCTGCTAAAGTTTAATTTTTCGTGGTTTAATGGAAAACCCATTCGTTGACAAGAAGTCAAAGTCCAAACAGCCAAGCAAAATGCAAAGTATTTATGTGTAAACATATATATATAATTATATATATCATATGCATATGTATGTCCGTATGTAAAATAATATATATATATATATATATGTACATACATATACATATATATATATATATGCATATGTGATGGGTCCAGTTGCTGCTTCATTCTCCCGGTTCCTTTCCGAGGCGCATCCTCCCAGGTCCCAGCTCTCCCGGACCTGCGCGCGCAGCACCGGGCAGGCGCCGCGGGGGCCGCAGAGCTGGCCCCAGCCGTAGCGCCACGTGGGGCTCCTCGCGTTTAACGAGGTGAGTGATACTCAAAACCTGCAAAAAGTGAATCACTTTTTGGGGGTTAACCGTTTAGTGGAAAACACCTTGATTTCACTTTGCCAGAATGAGTCATGATCAAAACCATTTTGGTACAAAAATGGTCGACCCAGAACCATGTAAAGAGTTCGGCGGAGATCCGCAGCTACTTATGGCTGGGATTGTCCCTTACCCTCCAATTACCCGCGTTTTGATTGTGGCTCAGGTGCTTCGACCGCGTTTCGGGGGGTGGGGGGTGGGGTGGGGCTGGGGTGGGGCTGGGGTGAGGTTGGTTTTGGGGGGGTTGGGGTGAAGTAGTGGGGTTGGGAGGATTGCAGGGGTGGGGTTGGGGCACTTGGATGTTCAAATAGGGCGGGTTGAGCTGTTGAGGGGTGTGGGGATGGGGGTTAGGTTGTGGCGGCCCTAGGACGAGACCCAAACCCAGAAGATGGGAGCATCGGCAGTTGCTTGCCGGCTTTGCTTGCCAAAACCGTGCCTTGGAATTCAGGATCTGTGCCACATCCTTATCCCAATGGCCAGCAAGTATTGGAAAAGGGCTGAGGATTGCAATGCTGCAAGGCTTCCACGGAAGGCACCAAACAAGTGCTTCGGATTGGTGGTCTCCGGGTTGGCTTCCAAATCGTTTTCCCCCCACAAATCCAAATCCACCAATCGAAACCGTCTCGGGCTATATAAAATGACGGGACTGGGGGTACTGGGAAACAGGTCAGCCCAGTGGATGTCCCAAAACATTGCAAACAAGAAATCTCCGAATTTACTGCAAATGCTATGGATGTTGAGTTTGTGATTGGCTTAGCGACGTGTTTGTTCAGCATGTTGAACAAATCTGGGCTTCTTATTCGGGTGGTATGCACAAAGGACCGAAACCAAATCGTCATAGGGGCAAATACGTGGGTTTGACCGGCACGGGGTGCCAGTATGGTTATTGGGGAAGGGACCAAGTCAATATGATTGGATAGGACAAGTACCCTCTTCCAACAATCATGGAGGACAGGTTCCAAAACCCTCCTGTCAGCTTCCATGATTGGGAGGGTGTACATGTCCATTCAAAAGACAAGGCACTGAACAGGAATGAGCAACAGCACCCGAAGCGCCCAGCAAAACTGCAGGCTGAACCTCCCGCGCCTGGTATCAGCCAAGTAGCCCACGACCACCTCGCATTCAATTCGCGGTTGGGACATAAAAGTTGCACCAAGCCTGGAATCCGGCCATTCCCGGAATCGGGAAACCGGGAAATCAGAAATCAGCCGTTAGGAGATCTTTGTTCAAATTAGGCCCGATGGGCCATGGGCCAAGGCTTGGACTTGCCCTTGCTTTTAAACATCTGCACAATGGTTTGAACATGTTTGAACCTCGCTTGATGCTTTAAAACATGTTTGACCCATTTGAAGTGTCCGGCTGCTGCCCCTCACTTCCTGTTGGTCACACAAAGTCCAGATTCTGCTTACTGGCTGTGAACGTTAATCGAGTTTCGAGTCAAGAAAGCCAAAGACCTGATCCTAAGGCCGAGCATTTGGCCGGAAAAGATCAAACGCGCCCAAAGCCCTAGACGGAAAGGGTAACAATCCGGACGAGGAAACCAAAGGAAACTTAACCTTCCTGAGCGGATTGGCCAAAAGCGACAAAGCTCTTGGGTACCACCAACATGATAAACCCAAGAAGGATATCAAGTCCATTCACTCGGGGTGTCGATTTCCATGAAGAAATGGACACGCTTTCCCACCCCACAACCGCTGCTTTTTGGACAGTGCTTGGGATTTTGGACAAGCGAGAAAGCAGTTGTTGGGGTAGCGCTGGTCGTTGGATCACTCTAAAGAGGCAAAGAGTTGAAAGCCATAAAAGCGCCCTTGAGGTTTGGTCTTTGAAGCCGCCTCTCCCCACACCTGCAGCCTATCTTGGGTTCGCAAACAGAAGCTCTCGTTTTGGTTGGCGGTCCAAAATCCATTCGGACCTTTGGACATATCTTTGGCAGGACCCAAATCCAGCAGGACCCCTTTCAGGCTACTGCGCGGCCCCGTTGTTAGGACCCATGTGAGGCCGAATTTGGCCTATGACTAACCATCCATCGGACCGCTCGCCTCTTCGCCCTCATCGTCCTTGATGGCACGCACAGCCAGCACCTTGCCACGACTTCCAACTTCGCAGTTGGCTTTCGAATCGGCTCCCAAGAAGTGCTTCCAGGCAGCCAGTGCAAAGGCAAGCTGAGGCAACCAACGCAAAAAAACTAGAGGTCAACATACCTCATCCCAGTTGTTGACATGTTTTATGCAAACCGTGGCATGAAGCTCTGGTACAAGCCACTGGCAAACCTGAAAATAATCACATAATCCAGTTGTTCAGAAACCCTGGTAGAACATGTGTAGGCAAAAGAGGGATCCTTCTTTCTAGAAAGCCACCAAAAACCCTCAAAAGAACGATGGCTGAAAAGAATGGGGAATCAACCCCTAGAACACATGCAAGCTAAACCCCTGGGAATATCCAAGCATCGGCAGCCTGACAGAACTTGCTTCGCCCACTGAAGTTTGGAGATGATCCTGCAGGTTGGCTGGAGAAAATCCCGAGGCAAACCTGGCACTGTCTTCATGGTGATCTTGGAAGGATTCCTATCCTAAGGTGTTCTTGCTGGGAATTGGGTTTCTAGATTCTAGGAATGGTTGGGAGGTTCATTCCCATGTTCCCTAAGCACAAAACAGCACTAGTACTGTGTTGCGATTCTAGGTCAACACTATTCAGTGACCGGGGTAGAAAAGGATTGGAACCACGTCCTTTTCGGGTCGATTCCTTGGTTTGTTTGTGCGACCACAAATAAATTTGGCTTGCAGAATCCGCTGAACAACGGTAGCTCAACAACAGTAGCGGGAAACCAGTTGGATGTTCCCCTTTACCTATCTGATTCACATGAACATGAAAGGAACCTCCAAAAAGCGGGAGCCCCTTGGGTTCCTTCCCCGGACCGCCAGTGGACGTGGCAAAACAAATTGCACTTTTGAAGCGACGCCCCGCTAAAAAAGGAGAAACAAAGAGGAGCGCCGAGGGGGGCGTCTGGGTGAAGGTTCCTAGAAGAGACTTCCCCTGCCCGATCAGTGCAAGCAGCCTGCTGGATTGGAAGGGGGGTCTTTCCTATCCGGACTTCACAGGGGTTCGGGTTTGGGATTCATCAACCTGGTGGATCAACATAGGGGTTCAACCAGAAGCTCCACATTTAGAACCTTCAACCATACCCCCCCCCCCCGGCAGCCTTTTTTTTCACCGAAACAAGGACATAAGCTGTACCCATGACTCTCCTGCACCACCTGTCAGTCAACCCTTCCATCAAGCAGGCTGGTCTGTCAACCGGTTGTCAGACGTGGTGTGTCCTGCTGGAAAATCCTCAATCTTGAATTCATGACCACACACATGCAAGATAACCGCGACTGAGAAATCGGTATTGCGTGCTGCTCTGTTGGGTTCCGTTCCCAATTCAACTGAAAGATAGTTAAGCCTCTTCTTCGGTAACCAAACAACATAAACGACAAGAACAACAGAACAAAACGACGATTTGATTTTGTGCGCCCATGAAACTGAATGTAAACTCCCTTGTTTCGCTAGTTGGATGGAACACCATAAAAAGAAAAGGCCAATCCCACCCAGGTCTTTGTTTCTAAAAAAAGAAACAAAAAACAGGGAAGCAGCACCAAAACCAAGCCACGGGCTTCCCAGAGCAACTCAACTAAAGACGACAACCATCCGGGTAGCTGGCTGGCAACGAGCAAAAGCAACAATACACTCACATACAAAACGAACAAATAAAAACAAACAAATAAGTCAATAAACAAACAATAACATAGATAAAACAATAAATACATCAGTAAACAGCTCAATAAATAAATGAATAAATGAATGAACACAAATGAACAATGATAGATTCTACTGAGATACTAATAACACACAAACATAAACAATAAACATGATACCCAACAAAGAACAATGATCACATGTATAATGTATAACTTATAATAACAGCGGTAAGATGTCCCAATGCAAGTCCCTAATAAGTTCTGATCGCAGATCTTCCCAGATTTTGAAGTCGAAGGAGCCAGCGCCACTTGCTCCGGCATCAAGGTTGCTGACGCTTCCACCTCGTCAACACGTACCAGGTCCACCGGTCGCAAGACCTGACGGATCAAAAGCGCAAGAGTCATCCAGACATCGCATGACATGGAACCGTGGAGTTGTTTTGGGCTGTTTTGGGCGTTCCGCTATCATCCCCTCATACTACGGACGGACGAAATCTGTTCGCACCACGAAATGAAACCGTGGAGTGGACAGCATAACGCTTCTTGGAATTTGCGTCCGGGAATCGAATCAGAAACGAGGCGCTCTGAACGGTGCCTAAGCGAATTTCGCCACCATCCACAGTATGACCGACGGAAAGGACGGGCGGGGTTCAGCGGACTTAGGGACTAGCTTAAAAGCCGGAAACCCTGCTCCAAAACGGTCGAAGGATTTGCACCCACTGGAGGTCCGGGAAGGGTGTGTTTTGAGGGTACCATTTTTCAGGTTGGCTTAAAGTTTGCAGGGGACCTTTTCCAATCTGAGCACATCACACCGGAAGTGAGTCATCGAGGTTCTGCCCGTTTCTTGGGACCTCAAGAGGGCATGCCTTAGGTCCAAATCCTTCCGGTCCCATGATGCGGCTCGAGGCCGCCTGCGGAACCATAGGAAAGATTTCAAAGGGCGGATCTGGGTGTGTCTTTGTCTTATAGGGGACTTATGGTGCTCTCAAACCCACCAAAACGCGGGCTTTGCGGAAGAATAGACTCACCCATAATATCCGCAGTGGGTGGAATTGCCTACCTTCACTTGCCCAGGCTTTGATTGCTACCTTTCTCACGGCCATCGGGAGCAGTTTGGTGACAAAGCCCTGACTCAAACAGAAGCTAACCCAAAAACATGCGGGTGTGTCTGTTTTTTAGGGGACTCACTGTGTTGGGAGGTTCTCATTGTGGCTTCCCTTTACACCACCAAAAACAGGGGTCACCCCTAAAAAGAGGACCACAAAGTGAAAAAGTCGGTTCTTCAAAAGTGGGCTCTTGTCCCTTTTCGGGCACCCCTCGTTCTCTCGGGAGATTGGCTTCCACCAGACACTCGGATCGGGCCCGAATCGGAATCGCTATTAACAAATTTGGGTCTACGCAAGTTGGTTGGTTTCTTGCAAGGGAAACCAATGAGAACATCAAAATCCAGTGTTGGAGGTGGACATAGCAATGGAATTGCGGGAAGTCACCGTTCCAATTCCATTGTTCAGGCGGGGAGAGAGTTCGGCAGTGAGGGGAAAGGCATCTATGTTGGGGTCGGTCGTTCTTGAAGGGTGCAATATTGCAGCTGGTTGAAAGGGAAACACGAAGGGAAAGTACGAATCTTGTTGGGGCCGGTTCTCTCATTGCAAGACAAACCTATTTGCCTTGGGGAACTATTGTGAATGAGATCCAGGTACCTCCTCACGGCTATGTTCGGTTTATTAGGTCCCCAAAGTTGGTGTGTGTGTGTGTGGGTGGGTGCGCGTTCATTTGCTTTTGATGCCCTTAAAACCAAGCAACACGGGTACCAACTCCAAAAATGACAGACTCATGGAAGGATGGCTTGCTGCCATCTGGAATCTACTTTCACCCGGCTGACCTTTGATCAATCCCTTGGACGCCATTGCTTGGATTCCGCAAAGAGCCAACGGACGTAAACAGGGCCCAGTTCTTCCCGGTACCAGCCCCAGGCATGGGGCATCTGTTGGAGGTGCTGGTTTCACATCTCGTGCCCTTGGGCTGGTGTTAGACTTTCGGGTTCCTGGTTTCGTTGACGCCTTGCTAAAATTTAGACTGGATACGCCGGATGAATCCAAGCCTGAACATAAATCTAGTTTCCATGGTCAGTCCCCAAAAGGGGACCACACCGCAAAGAAACACGAGAAAATCAGGGCTGTGGGGAATGGAATCCACCTCTGTGATACAACAGAAAGGGCTTCCCAAAGACTATTCTGTTCATATAAAGGGGGATTCCCTTGTGTCACAGAAGGGGGGCGAAGCCCCTTGATCCCACAACCCTGCTATTAAGCCCCGCCTTAGTTGCTGTTGGCCGCCCTGCTGGGCTACAAGTCAATTCAAAAAAAATCCCTCGAGTCGACAAACATGCCTGTGCTCAACCCGTTGTTTGATGGGCGCTCGTTTGCACTTTTCTTCGCCGATGTGTGCTCCTTGATGACCTTTCCAAACTCGCTTCCGTAAGAAGAATACTGTGGATGGACAAAATCCTGCACCATCTAGGAAACCCTGGAATGAGGATTCCTCTACAAATACCAACAAACAATGGCTTGCCATGGTTTCAAAGTGCAAAATTTCGTCCATCCACATGACACTGCCGAACTTGATTTCTGCACGAAACGCCCCACGAAACGATTCCCTCGATCCACATGGCGCCTCGTAGCGTCCGCCCACCTGCCACTCTGGAGCGGCCTCCTCTGAGTAGAAGACTGCATTGAAGAGCCTGGGAAGCTGCGCTCGGTTGCGAAATCAGCTCCCCTGCTAAAGGCTTAACTTTCAGTGGATTAATGGACAACCCATTAGTTGGCAAAAAGCTAAAGTCCTCACATCCAAGCAAAATGCAACAAAGTACGGGTGACAAAAAGAAGAGCGCGGTTGGGAAAACTCGTGCCCTCCGGCTTGGACAGAAATTGAAGGAAACTACGGCCCATAAAGAACTTGGGTAGTCTTATCCTGTGATTCTGTGGCCGGACGACATCTTGCACCAGGAAACCCTGGAAGGATTCGATTTCCCCATGAATACCAACAACCAATGCATTGTTTCCCACGCTTCAACGTGGTGCAGGATTGCGTCCATCCACGGTACGTGTGGGTTATGCGGAAATTTGGGTATAGATGTCAAAGGACTTGGGGGGCCTTTGGAATCCTTAGCTCGGCCCACGGCGTGTGGGTGTTGACATTCGGAGAAAAAAAAAACCTGAAGGATGGTGAACATCGTGGGCACATGAAGCCTTACAACTGTTTGACTTCCCTTGGGATTGACCATCCCGCTCAAAGCGGGTGTTTTGACCACGGCACATGTCTTGCCTTACTCACAAAATGAACACCTGGCTGTGGCACTCTCCATTTCTGTTCGGGTGTGCTGCCTGCTGGCCCTTGAACTCGTTCTCGTTTGTCCGCGGGCTCGTTTTTATTTATCCGCGAAGCGCCTCAGTTTTGGGCTCTGGTTTCGACCCGTGGCTACCTTTCTTTTCCGGCGTGCGCAACTCCAGTTGTGTGCATCACCTGGTGAGCTGCGGGCCGCAGGCTGGATGCGTCGCGCAGGCTAGGCGGCTGCGGTCTGACGATTTTTTGGCCCAGATCAAGTTCCACATTGCTGTTCGGACTGCGAGGCTAAGGGGCTATGTGATAGGTGTTTGTGTTTGGTCTTCTGTTGGGAGGGCACTGACCATGGGAAAACACACACACACACACACACACACGCCAATGTTCAAAACCCGAATCGAGTGCTTAGGATTGGGCAGCTAAGTTAGTCTTTGGACCGCGGAATCCTCCAGGCGTAAGGAGTGAGCCGCAAGTTGCAGACTGGGTCAATATAGCATGGCGGATTGAAACAAGAGAAGAGGGAGTTCCGCAAGTGAATATTTCCCTGTGATGCTGTGATGGGACACTTCCGGGTCATTCTGCCAGACCCCAGGCCCCAGGCGGTTGGGAAAAAGGGCATATAGCTGATATCCAGTGGAAACCCCTCAACAAGTAGGGACAAAGAGCGCCAACCCACGAACCCACTGGGTGTCTTCCTATGGTTGTCCAGCGCGCCCCAGGGACCCCCCGATTTTGATAGGGGCAAACAGCGACTGATAAACCCTATTAGGAGCCGGAGGTGTTCTTTCGGGGCCCTTTTTTCGGGGTCTTCGACAACCATGGGATGTCCGGGATGGTTCCCAAAATTTTCGGGGAGTGAGGAAAACGCCATCCCCCCCCCTTCCGGGTGAAAGGCCTGCGTAAGGCCATGACTTTGCTCCATGGCGTCGAGAAAGCGGACGTGTACGCGCTTCACTGGCCAACTGGGTGGTATGTTTAAAGTGAGGGCTGAACAAAGAAAACCAAACACGCACACGGTGGAAACCAAGTAGCAAGAAAAGGAAGAAAGCGAAAAACACAAGTAAGAAGTAAAGAATTCAATGCCAATAAAGAAACATGGAAGCAAACAGACACACAAACACAACGAAAGGCATCATGGTGTTGAATGTGGGAACACTTGGAGAGACTGCTCCGACCCTTTGCACGTTCCTCGGGGGGCGGATCCTCTTCTATGGCTGGTTCGCAATTGATTCGCCCCTCCGGTGCCATTTTCTCTGTACATGGCTGCAAGCAACGAAGAAGACCTGGTGCGCGGAACTCAACTACAAACTGAGGGTCCGAGACATGTGCAAACATGCCTACCCTTTTTGGGATGAACGCAAAAGTGTGGGCTTTGCGTCGCACTCATTTGTCTCAGAGTTGACCACTTTCCCACAAGCAACTAAAGTTTAACGTTGTGAACGACCCGGTTGAGGTGTATGTTTTACCAGCCCCAGCTGTTTACCAGCTCAGCACAAGGCCTCCCCTGGCAGCAAACACTGGCTTCAGTCTTAGGTTGGCGGCAACGGCGGTATTTTCTGGGGTCCTAGTTGGCCAGCGCTCGGACCTGGGGCTGCCTGCAGTTGAGAGTTGCTGGGGCGGGTTTCGGGCGAGTTCTGGGCTTGTGAAAAACTCTCAATGAGGGCAGGCCTTGCTTGGGGGCGACGATCTCTCGCTTTCCGCAATTAAAAGCGTGTTCCCCTTGTTGGGTTGGAACCATCGGACCGGGGAGCTTTTTTACTTGTTGCGCGCTGAAATCATCCCCCCGTAAACGTGTGAAGCTCAAAAACCCGGGGAGTGAGAGTTTTGAGGGGAGGGATACAATATATTTGGCTGTGGCTCAGAAAACCGGAATTCCAAAATGGAACCCTGGTAAGTGGAAACATGGACCAAAACCTGCGTAACCCCTGCTGGTTAATTTTAACCCACACCCATTTGTTGCTGGGCATTCAAAATGCATCTGCGTCCCGTTTCTGCCGACTCATTAAGTTTGACTTTTGTTGCCTGTTTCCCCTTGTGAGCCACTGGGATCCACAAGGGGAATCTAAGACGGGAACTGCCCAAGAGGATTTTTCCCCCGAGAAACATCGATCGACCGCCCTCCCTGGCCCGCAGACCCTTTTTGTGACGAATGAGCTGCCGCCCAAGGAGACCCGATCTGGAAGGAACACCCCCGGAAACTCCGTTGAACCTGGGCCAGCTATAAGCTTGACAGACTTTCTTCGCATTCCATCTCAACTCAAAGGCAGGGGAAGCATGAACAGAAACTCATTGCACCTGTGGTGTACCCCCTCAGTAGTGATCCTGCTAATGGCCTAGAGTCCTGCAACATGGACCATCCCTCCCAACGCTTCCAGTTACGATGGCAAAGGTGGGGAAACCACAAAATGAAAAGGGAAGCCCAGCAGGTTGACAACAATTGCCTTGCATGGTGAATCTTGACAAATCGCCAACCCAAAGCAGTAGGTCACCAGGGAAAACCTTCATGAGACTGGCCAAAACAAAACGACACGAAGGGGTGCCTACGATAGCGGCTTGCCTAGAAGCACTGGGAATAATGCCCTGGCTTGCCTAAAAACTCTGCCCAACCCAAGTCAGGACATCATTTGGTCACCCAAAATGGGTTGCGCTGCCAAATCCCAATGCCTCGTGTAGGTTCCTGAGTTGGAAACTCGCTAGGTTGGGTTGCTAGGCGAATCTGCAAAAAAGAAACACACACACACACACACACACACACATGGGCCCCGCTTGGATAAAGGTGCAAGTTCCAATCAAATCGCAGCCAAGCGCAAAAAGTGCCAACCCTTTCCCAGCACGGAAGCCGTCAAGCTACCCTTTGCGGGCTTCAAAAGGGCCCTCCCTTCCAGAGCCACCGGGATTCTCGTCCTTGGGACGAGTCCCCACCAGCCTATTGGTCTCCTGCCTAAGGACATGCAGCGTGGCAAGCTTCAGAAGACGAAACACTGCTGAGTCTACTGACCTCTGTGCCCTTGGACCATGGTGACCCCTGGACTTGGATCGTACCCCCAGTGAACATCCCAACCCAACCACTAAAATAGGAAGCATAAAATGGGTGGTGAATTCACCTACCAACCAAAATGGTACCAAAACGGTTTTGACCCACAGCCACATCTCTCTGAGCCACCCCTTCCTACAGAACACCGCAGTTGTCTCGAACCCCCCTGCCTCGGCACTTTGTCCGAAATTTCTGCGCACTGGGCTCCTTCCCGCCCAGGTAATCCTGACACGCCTATGCGCCACAATTGCGTGTGATTCACAGGCTCACTTGCTCCCTGATACTGTCTAAAGTCCATATCGGTGTCGTCTGCTTGCCTTTGAACCTAACTCTCAGTATGGCAAAGTATACTCGTGCACTTTTTGCTTCGACCAGCGGGCGGGATCCGAATCAATCCAGGCAAAAGCCGACGTTTAGAACAAGTGCTGGGCACGGGTGATGGCTATGCCGCCGCGTGGAAAATCCTCATGTCCCACGACAGCTGGAGGCGAACTCTCCAGCGTTTAGCCTTCGCCGCCTTGCGCCTCTGCCATTGGAAAACCACATTGGAACTTGAAACCCTGGCTAATGAGACACTTGATATGAGCCCTTCGCAATTCTACCCACCGAAACTTCTGGATTTCCATGAGCTGATGTCCTTCGGCTACAAAAGACCCGTGACAAGTTGAAAGCAATGAGAATGCATCCACAACACCACCAGAATATTGAAGAATCTGCTCACTAGAGAAAAAAGGGAGCTGCTTCTTTCTTCGGAGATGAGCGAAACGAGAAGCATTTCAGGTCTCCCTTCCTTGGTTCGCATTGCTTCGGAGGCTGGAACCCCCCACTTCTTCTTTTTTTGGCAAAATGGGAAAATACACGGGTCAACCTCCAAACCACCACACCAAGCCAGGTGACCATGGGAGCTCCCATCGCTCGGCATCGCGCGGCTGGGTCTCAATACTTCCACTCCCCGGAGCTGAAGGGGAAGGAGTGGTAGGGGTGCTGCCCCACACTCCGCCGGTACGTCTCCGCAAAGCCGCCTCGCTGGGATTTTGTCTCATTTTTGTTGCCCCTTAGGATGGGGCCCAGGACTCAAAGGTGAACCATTTTTTGGCGCCTCTACGAAAAATGGACCCCAAATGGGAAAACCGAAAGGTCAAAAGGTCGATTGGACTCCCCTATGGCGATTCCATAGCTCCCACCCTCAAATGGAAAGCATGGCTTCATTTGCGGCTGCCTAGCTTCCATGTTTTGAGGGAGTGTAACCTAAGCTCGGTTGCTCCAAGCCCTGGGCAAATGGTTGTGATTGACCTTTAGGTTTAATGATAACGCCATCTGACTCCAAAAGTTCTGAGGGGCTATGGTCACAGCAAGGACCCGCCATCTAAAGAAAGGACCTGGATCGCCAACTGGTTGAATTTCCAGACACTTTGCCCTAAAAGCAGAGAGAGTTGCTGGGCCAAAAACAGCAACTGGCTGCACGGTTCGCATCCCCACACGGTGAAGAGACAAAATCCTGAGGAAGTTTGGATGAATGAAGCCCTATGAATGGTGGGAGAAACCACCTACTTGGTGCCTATTCAGTGGATTCTGTCCTTCCACAGTTGGGCAACATGAAGGGTCCGTAGAACGTTTGACAACCCGCGCCCAGTCACAAAATGGGGGGGCAAGACTTGCTCATTTGCCCAGCCCCAAACCTGTTCACGAAGCAAGCCTAGACCTTCATTTCGCACGCAGCCCTTGACTTCTCCATCTCCAAACAATCCCAGAAGCCCCAGATGGGTTCTCATAAGTTCCTGCTGGATCACATGTTTGCGCGGGTGGTTTGCAACTCCCTTCTGAGCAAAGTCTGGTTCAGATTCGGATGGTCCAGGACCCAAAGTTTGCATGGTCGCATTCAGATGATGCAGACTCATAGCACTCAGTTCCATTTCCTGGTTTCTTATAGGGGTTCTCAAAAAGGCCCCCCTGTTCACTATTTGAGCCTGTCTTTTTTCGGGGACCCCTCAGGTTCTCCTTCTTGGTATTCCTTTGTTTTAAACCACTAAAAAGGCGCGCTCTCAAAAAAACAACCCATTTCAAAGGGAAGCCAAAAGGAAACCAACCCTCTTGAGCTATTTCGCCTATTTGAGAGCCCTTGCGACTTCAGCTCGTGTTGCAGCTAAGCAAGCCAGGAGGTGAGTCCTCCACCGGATGAACAAAAAGCTTCAGTGAACCACCACTTTTTGCCTCACCTCCGGAGTCTTGGCCCCCAAAACACTCTAGCGACCACACTTTCTGTTTGCTCTCTGGTCTTCCGGAAGGTCAAGTCCAACAACCCGCAGGCTGTGTTGCCCGGTTTATCACCAAAATGCGAGTCTGCAAGTTACGGTCAAATTTCATTGGATGAAACCAGAGAGACGGATCCTATGAGAAACGCCCCATGCCTCTCCCCGAGCTGGGCGTGCCGAGCTCACGTCGCGCTTGGGCTTGTTCCGTAACTTGAGCCTCGAAGGCAGGCCCCTCCCATGAGTCTCTGCGAGGATGTCCGCCCAAACGACCGGATCTCAACTTTGATTCTCTTCTGAGAACATATTTCTGCAAATATACTTCATAGCGTGATGACTCCAACTTACATGGAGCCCAAAATGGATAGTCCCACGAAAGGAGATTCTCCTCACCTGATGGGCTGCTGGACGCCTACTGAAACCCTGCCGCAGAACATGGGCTTCCTCCATAGCAAATTTCGCTTGCAGCCAAAGCCAAGTGTCTCGCAGTTCTGCCAGTTCTTTTCAGCGGAACCGCCCAGGACTCCGGCCGAAATACGGTAACAACCGCCGTTTCGTTGCTCCATTGGTCAAGCAGGAACCTTAGACCCCAGGAAAATCAGGCCTTGTTTCGTTAGGTCTGCTACGCGTTCGGCTTCCCCCTCAAGGGGGCCTTGTTTTTCAACAACATAGTTA